CATTCAGCAGACATTCAGCTGTCATTCAGCAGACATTCAGCAGATATTCAGCTGTCAATCAGCAGACATTCAGCAGACATTCAGCTGTCATTCAGCAGACATTCAGCAGATATTCAGCTGTCAATCAGCAGACATTCAGCAGACATTCAGCTGTCATTCAGCAGACATTCAGCAGATATTCAGCTGTCAATCAGCAGACATTCAGCTGTCATTTATGCTATATGAAGTTGTTTGTGGTTTCATCATCATCATGAGACTTAATTGTGGTGASCTTTGTTTGTTGAGATGTTTTCCATGCTTCATGCAATAAAAAGTCAAACTCAACTCACCGCTCTCGCTCTTCTCGATCACGTCCACTGTCTCTCCGGCCTTCAGGTTGATCTCGGAGTTCTCCTGCCTCTCGTAGTTGGCGACGGCCACGTACTGCTCCAGCACCATGGGCTCCGAGCTGTCCATCCCTGAGTGGAAGAGACAGGCTGTCAGCCACCTGCCCGCCGTAACGCCCCGCGAACGCCCGCTGCACCCAAAAACGCCACTGCGCGACCGGTGCGCCGCCATCGGCCGACCCCCGGTCTCTGCCGCCTCTGTAACTCCCCCGTCCAATCAAAACGTGACCTCTCAGTTCGGCCGCATCGTCCCAAATGTCGACCCCCAGCCCAGAGCAAACGAATGGGGAGCATYGGAAATCAAAACAAAAGGAGGAATGGTGAGAATAGACTTTTCGGGARCTGCATCTCACACCAGAAGCATATCTGAGGTCTTTTCCAAACAGCCAAACCCAAAAATCAGAAAGGAGCTGAAGACAAAGGAGGAACAGAGGAGCCGCTGAAGACGGGGGAGTAAATGAGTGGAAGAATGGTGAAGTTTTCCTGTGGAAAATCAACAGTGTGGTTGAGAGGAAAGGCCTCCCCTCCACTGCCTCTGGGAGCCAGCCGTTGGACAGGGAGTCTGAGGGAGGGGGGGTCACACCAATCATGGCAGTCAGCACCGCTGGCCTTAAATAGAAACATATGAGTGGACCAGAAAGAAGCAGAGACACATGGAGAACGGAGTCTGGGTCAAACAAAAAGAGGCGAGCGTGTCAGTCGTTGTTAGGACTTTTTGTCTTGGCTCTTAAAGTCTGAAATGTTTCAGAAGCAGAGAGTTTTATTTACTGAAACGTGGTGCAGAGAACTCCAACGGGCTGTTTGGGCCACCAACACAGAAGCCACAAAGATCCAGAGGAATTTTTACTGCAAATAACACTCCCAAGCAGATCAGAGGTGCACTCAGAAACTAAAACAAACAAAAAAATCTACTTTTTGTTTGTGATAAAATCTGATGCTGTAACAATTTAATCTTAAACATTTAGGCRTCGGAAAACATTAGGCACCAAAAAATGGCAAGAAAAATTACAGAAGAACCTAAAAATGTGTTGAAAACTCTCTCTATAACCCTCACTTACGCTCACCAGACACTCTTTGGACCCACCTATTCAAGTGTTTGTTAAACAAACTACCTGGTATAAATGAGGCTACAATAAAAACATTCAAATACTTAAACACAAATTAAAAATATTGCATCACATTTTTGTGGCATTTACAAGAAAACCGGTACCAAAATGTCAGAAAAAAATAACCCAGAGTCTTTCCAAAGAACCTCGTTCATTTACAGAATGATTGACAAGGTGTCTGGCCCCGCCCCCTCAGTTTGCTGCTCAATGAGGCTAATTTTGTTCATTCCAGGGTCAGCCCAAGGCCACAGGCTTCAGGCAGCGAGGGTGAACGTACGATAACGTGCCACGAACGCGAGTGTATGTGGCGTGGTTTGGCGTAGACTGAGCGGCTACGATGGTGAGCAGGATTAACATAAATGAGGTGGATTATTTTWTTACTCACTCGTTTTCTTTCATTTGTTTGGAAGAAAAACCTGGAAGAGAAGAGGTTGGTGGATAGACCAAAGGATATTCAAATCCAGTAACAGGAAAAGCTGCAGAGTTAGAGTTAGGAAAGTCTGAAAGTAGCACAGTTGTCGTTGCTCCTTCAGCTCATCCTGAACAAACTGAGAAATTATTTTACCATAAGGACCAGTGGGATTTAGACCAAAAAGAAGCTCCAGCTACTTCAAAAAAGCTGTTGRCCATATCTTGCAGGAAGATTTATGACAGGCAACTTCAGCTTAGATAAAAATCTCATCCATCTTCACAACAACTGGTGTCTGTCAGGAGTAGACTGCCTCCTCTCCTTCGTCCTGGTGGTCATCATTCAAGTAGCATCACAGACTTCCATACCTCCATCACCACCAGACAAAGACCCATCTTTAAACCAATGAGGTCCAAGAACTCACCRCCAGGATGGAGAAGAGCGTATGTTTTAGACAGTGGTGGGCAGCGCTAATTCAAATTTTAGTTGCGCAATTTCTAAAGCAYGAGTCAATTTATYTATGTCTGCAAGTTCAAAAGCACATATGCTCAATAAAACTTAGCGGAAGCTAATTTTTAAAGCGCAACATAAMCTCCGTTTACCAGAAAACATTCAGGTAAGAGAAAAGTCAGCACTTTACTATCATCTAGTGGTAATATCATTTTCTTTCACAGATTGGCACATAATGGTGCAGAATGGGGAGGTRATTTTTAGAAACAGACTTTTAAAATCATGGTTGTAAAACAAAAAAATAATTGTGGATTGTTCATTCTGCTGCTTCTTGGTCATTTTCTTATGTTTGTGGCAGGGCTTCAGTAAGAAAACATGCAGATGTATTAGTAATTTTAAACTGTTTGTTGTAAAACTGAAGCAATGCATTCTGGGTAGGCTACAGGACACAGCACAGGAATTCCATTCTTTTCAAAATAAGAGTGTGAATTTAAACTGTTCCGTGTTCCTTTCTTTACTATTATTTATTTATTTAATATTTATTACTGCGGTGTYCCTCAGAGAGGACGTACAAACTGCACAGCTGAGTGTGGTTCTGTAGATCAGTACCGTAGGTGGATTGTCACCCAGTGAAGAAATTCTAATTGCTTCCTGCACGCAAAGAATTGTGGGAACACTACAGTCTCTACTAAGTGAAAACCGTCACTGAGAAGAGTCAGAAGTCAGAGTATAAAGCTCTGTGAACGTAAAGCAGACTGGGGGGTCGCTGTTTCCTTACAATGAAGGTTCATTGTGTTAAGTACAGACGGCTTTCCCCTTCAATGTTCAAGAAAATCATGATGAAGTTTTAAAGATTTATGTGGTTACAAAAATGTAGTGAGTTTAGACAGCTCTTTCTCTTTACTATAGACAAAATTCACATTTGAATGTGAAACATTATTTGCAATTAGCTCAACTCAATTCWAAATTTAGAAAGTGCAAATCCGCACATCATTTTAAGAAATTATTAAAACCCCTGAAGCGCAAAGGAGAAATTAAGGTCCGCAACTAGCGAATTTGTGCTTTAGGGGACCAGTGGCCACCACTGGTTTTAGAGATAAGTGCTGATAACCACAGCAGTGGAAACCCTAGCAGGCAGAACCAGTTTCTGTGAGTTTATCCAGCAGAAAAACGAAAACGGTTCTTCAGGAATTTGTTCCATTTGGGTATATGGGGATATTTTCTTGTAGGACACAATGTTTAAGACTTGAATCTGCTTTTCATAAACTCTTGCAGTGACGAGGCTTCTCTCTTCATTTCTGTAATATTTCTTCAAAAACACAGAAAAGGTGGAAAACAAACGTGAGCCAGAGGAGAAAAGGCAGCACAGATCCAGCCTTTTCAAAGTTTTACTCTGTGATAATGGAAACCATGCTTCTTTCAGAAACATCACAAATCCTGAATTCCTATAAGATTCTGCTTTTTGTTACATTTATGGGCACGTTGGATTTTTTTTCTCCAAGATGTTAATAAAAATGGAGTGGTGGTTTTTAATGGACGGTTTGTTGTGCTTAATTTGGACTGACTCACTGGGTAGTTAACAGGCACAGCAGGATCCCAATATTAACTTAATTAGGACCATATTTGGAATTAAAACTCCCCGGCAGCCTTTAATGGTCACAGGAACCCAAATAGGGTTGAATTTAGAGTTAAGAAATATTCAAATTAAGAATTAAAGTGAATGCATAGACGCTCCTGGGAAAGTAAGCCTGGCTGCAGCGTCAGTGCAGAACAGGAAGTATGTTCAGTTTAAGATTCAGCTTATGATTTAGTATAAAGCACAATGAATTCAGAATTATAACTATAAAACTCACAACTGTAGCAAATGTTGCAGAGAAAACAGAAGTTTTGTGGACCTGACAATATTCTGTGTATGCTAACTGCAGCTCAGTAAGATCACTAGTTTTATTGCAGAGTTTATTATTTAAAATAAAAAAACTATTTACTYTTACAGAACAATGTGTTTATATCTTACCCATAAATTATTGTTCAATAAATAACATTTTAGCTGTATGGTGTGTGTCTTTATGTGGCTCATAAAACTTATTTTGCAATTTATTTTACAAAAGCCCAAACAGGAAGTAGAAAAAAGTAACTTCCTGCTAAGCTGTTATGCTACAAATAGCTTTTAAAATCCATTAAAATATATTAATCTGTTCTTTCAGTCACTAAGTTGTTTCTAGAGTTTGAAGGACATCTTATTCATGGTTAGACTGCTTTTAAACCATTTTTAGATAAGTTAGGTTAGCTGTTAGCTGTTAGTGCTAGCTGCTCTCGGGAGCCTGAAGCTTTTGTTCTCAAAGCAAAGCAGATTCCTTTTTTTCCTACAACAATGCAAAAGTAATTAAATACACTTGGATGAGTAAAAATAAATCTACAGAAATAAATGCACAAAAAATAAAAAAGGTATAATAAAAACAAATGCATTCTGAAAAAGGAAAAGTAAATTAAGTAGAAATGCAAATAAAAGAGAGATGTAAACAGTGGAAAGAAAAACAATAATTTTTCATTTGAACAAAATGATTTGATGCATATTTTCTGAGTCATTTTCAGTAAATATATTCATGACTTCATCTCTCCATATGCCTTTTCTGCCTTGACTCATCATTAAAAAATGAATAAGATCACAGGCRGCAATCAAAGAAATCCAAAGCAGACTAGCGTCTGAAGCACTTGGACGTGCAAACCTGCAGGCCACATCCATCCAGCTGCTGTCAGACAAACGGGTCGACACATCCAGAGATGGATGCAGAGGCTGATTTCCAGCAGATGGCACATGCAAAGCAGATGTCCAGGGAGAGCTGAGGTGTAAAAACTAAAGTGAAGAAATGGATGCAGCTGGAAGACCATGCATATTTAACATGACACACACACACACAAACACACACACACACAAGGCTACCTGAGGCCTCTTTCCTCGGGCTGTCTGTAAAACCGTACATCCACACTGCAGACAGAGAAGAAGGAAAAGAAGTAGAATGAGAGAAATTATTCACTTTCACAACGTGCAGAAGCAGAGCACACATTCATGACACAGCTGTAAGGGAGCAGAGTCGGGCCAGCTCATCTGGGAGTGATGAGCAGAACCCAGCCCAGTTCTGAAGGTCAGACTTTTCCTCCTGCTCAACTGGATTCTCTGAGCTAAATAACCCCACAGCAACTACAGCCCCCTACTGCAGCGATCCACCCCACGTTTAAAGAAATAACACTGGCCCTGCACCAGGAAATTAAATTAAAGACCCTGTTTCAGGAGATGTGAGGGATGAGCGCGATGCAGGAGATAAAGCTCCTTGATTACGGAGCGGGACAGAGAAAGCAGTGGAGCCTACAGAAATTCTTTTCAAGGAGGGCGGGGGGTGCTGAAAAACCAGGGGTGGCACACCAAAACTRATATCTATAACAGAATTTTATGATGTGTTTGTAAAAATGACAAACTGAAAACTATGGCGCCCCTGAGAGAAAGGTCCAGGCAGCTTTTTACTGGAACTCTTCCTGTGCTCTTTTTATCTTTAAAAAGAAGGAACTGATTCAATTTTAAATTACAAACTGGCCCGCCACGTTCCAGAGTTTCAGTCTGCGATCATCAGGATTGAGTGTTTGTTCTGAGCAGATGCAGCTGGCTGGGAGCGTGGCGTGTTGGTCACAGGCTGAGGTCAGGCCACGTGTCCCACAATGAGCACYGTCCCCCGTGTCCAAACCCTCAACGGCTCTGCTCACTCCTGTCTGACTGCAACGTGGCTGTGAAGCTCTAACGCGTCGACAGCACAAAGTGAGTCCTCAGCTGGAAGTGGGGGTCAGAGGGGGTCCTGATCTACACCGGTGCAACACCAGCAGCACTGACCCCCACAGCCCTCCTCCTCCACCTGAAACCTTATCCTCTGTGACACGTAAACAAAGCCGCTCCTGTCTGACAGCTCCGGCMTTGGCGGGCTCCACGGACCCGACAGCACCCCCTCCGTTAATCCTGAAGCTGTGGGAGGCTGGACCGGACCCTCGACGGTTAAACACATCGGACTCCTGCAGAGTGTGGRTCCTGATTTCATTATTAGATTTGTTTGAAATGAATCACCTGCAAAGCAGACGTGAGCAACATTTTGACAGGGAGTGTGTGGGTTTGTTAGCAAAATATTTGTCTTGTTTTGTAAATTATGATTTGTTTAATATATTCTGGGGATAAAAGGGGCAGACATTATAAGGTTTATTCTTCTTCTGCTACCTTTTATTTTATTTTGATTTTTGTATTTTCTTTGTTTTTATTGTATATAGTTATTTTTTAATGAAATGAATACATTTTTTGAATTGAAATGAATTGAATTGAAAATATCTCATGAAACACTGGACAGATTTTAAAGACAAGTCTAAAATTATAACCTGCTTTTTCATCCAGAGTGTTGTTTCTTTACTGAAGCTATCACAACTCTTTATGGCAGCCATATTGGATTCTGAGGTCGGGACAGGGGAGAAATATGGGATCAATCTTGTTCCAGCAGGAAGTGAATTTGAATTGCTCAGATTGAATCTGAATGTTCATAATTTGAAATTGAATGCATTGGTTTGAAAATAAATTTCACTAAACTGAAAATAAATTTAAAGTTTTGTATCTGAATTAATTTGCTTTGAAATTGTATTTTGGTTTATTAAAAATTCAGTTTGACTACTTTCACTTTCAGTTCCATAATTCAGATTTTTGTGTCACATCCTGGTCCTTGAGAAAGCCAGGCAGAGTAATCAAACACAGATCCACAGATTTATGTTTCACTTTGGTGAAGTTTCCCTTCTGGATGTAACAGAGTTGATGCAATCCACTGTAAAAGTGACAAAAACAAAGTTATTTTATTGCAGTGATTAATTTGACCTATATGTGGAAAATGTTACATTTACATCACATCATGGATCAGTCAGCAGCAGCATCTGATCAATATGTGATCCATGAAGAATTCCTGCTGGCACATGATTTATCCTACAGAGAAATTCCTGGTTTTCCAGGTGAAATTTTAGATTTTTCTTTTTGTTTTGTTTTGTTTTATTTTGAAATTTTGAGTCCCAATATACTACGGCTAATTTGCATACGCAGATGCAAATTAGCCGTAGGCTAAATCTGATGCAATGTATCAAATGTTTTTATGTTTATGTTTTAATTGCACATGTCCTGATAAATAAAATTCATYCATTCAKTCAATAAATTGCAGCATGAGGTACAACTTTAGAATTCCTCCATCATCTGAAGACAACAGCTGCCACATTTGTTCCGAGAGTAAAACCAGAGAAATTCAACTCCTTTCCTTTTTAGCTGTTTTTCTCCTGGTTTTACTGCGAGAAGTTTCTCAGCAGTTAATCGCCTCCCTACTTGGAGCAACTTCCTGTTTAAAGAGTTGGTAGCAGATCAGTGGGTCAGCGGCGCAGCGTCCAACTGGGCAACATGTCAAAGATTTAAGTTGGCTCTCTCACAGGAGCCACCTGTTAAAAAAGCTCCTCTCAGACACTGCGGTGGGGGGGTTTCCCCTAAACGGCCTTTTTCCTCCAGCAGCARCAGCAGACGGCTTGCAGGAAATCAAATCTGCACGAGGAATGTGGACCACGTCGTTCAGGAGGAGAACAGTTTGTTTTGGGCTTCAAAAYGAACAAATAATTCAGTGAACGCTGAGTCAGCACAGAGAAAGGAACGCAGCATTTGTGTTTCGCAGATTTTTAGCCACAGTTTTGCAGGTTTTAGCTTCTGTTCAGCTTGTTTTCGTCGCACTCTTTCTTTAATCTGAACATTAAACGAACCAAATCAAAGACTTTGTCCTGTAACGCTTTTCAATATCCAACCTTCACGCTGCTCACGGTAAACATCAAGGTTAAGTTGTTTTTATATCACTTGCAGGAGAATATTTTCCATGAACCACGAGATATTTCCTGGATTTGCTCCTCAATAATTCACAAGAGCTTCTGTAGCCTGATCCTTTCAAAACAAGTTCCTGAATCCAGTTATTAGTCACATYCAGAACTTCTGGTTAATTCAGCCGTGCAGATGGTTAATAATGTACAGATGATGGACAGTATGAATGGTTTTATGTTTAGTAGTCTTTTCTGCATGCAGGGATGGGCAGTATGCTGCATGTGGTACAAAAAGCTTCAACTAGAAGTGCAGCTGAAACCAAACAATCCTCTAAATGTCACAAAGATTGAAGTTAATGACTTGATTTGGCCTCCAACAGTTCCACCCTGAACTCTGAAGCCAACCTCCAGCCAACAGGCGAGGGAGGCTGACGGTTTCATGAAGCCAGCCCACAGCCGACAGAAAGCAGGAATGTAAACAAACCACAGAGTGACAGCAGAGACGGGACGCAGAGACACGTTGAAGACGTCATGCTGCATAAAGCTCCCTCGGTTCTTCAGCAGAGCAACAAGTGGAGAAAGACAGAGGGTTGCAAAAAGGATGGCCACTTACCAGATTTGCGTTTGGAGCCATAGTCCCTGAGGAAGAAGCAACACAAGAAGGACATGGTTAGTGATGGCAAACGCCAAAACTTTGGGTCAACATGATGCTGCAAATCCTCAAAAAAAAAAAATAAATAAAAACAAAGAATCTAAGTCATGAGCTCCTGCGCAGGATAAAAGGCAGGAGATATCCAGAGTGATGCGTGGAAAGAGAGGGAGGATGACGTTGGCCGGCTGCCTGTGCTCCCTGCAACAGACACAAATCAGTCATGTGACCTTAAAGCAGCGCTGCCGTCCTCCTCCCCTCCCTCCCCCGCTTCGTCCTGCCAGAGACAGAGACAACCTCTCCCCACGTTTGAAAGAAGGAGGATCAGTTTAAGATGATTTGCTTAATGGATTCTAATGGGATTAGACCACAAAGACTAAACTATAAATCACAGGCTGAGTTGGAAGTGAGGTTCTTGCAGAGCAGCAATCAGGTTAAAACATTAGACAAAGGAAGACATCAGATAAGGACTGAATGTGTTATTTATAGAAACAAATATCTGATCATCCAGCCAGTGGATCACCACCCCTCCATGCCTCAGTGTCTCYTTCTAGTTTCCTCTTATTAAACACAGTGAAGTAGTCAGACACTCACCTCACAACACAAATAACCCCAGGCTGTYTGTAAAACCTACAAGATAAATGATAAACCCTCACACTGAACACGTGGAGCCTGACCAGATGAGGAGGGATAACTGATGAAATATGTTAACTTCTGATAACTCATCAGTTAATGCATCAGAAACACCTGGTTCAGGTGATTTGGAGGATATGTGTAAAGATGTCCTGTAGGTTTATGATTCTTAAACTTTTCATGTAGAGCATCACCGCAAAAAATACTCAGCTCTGTAATACCACAGTTACAGAGGTAGGTGGATGGATGGATGGATGGATGGATGCATGGATGGATGGATGGATGGATGGATGGATGGATTGATGGATGGATGGATGGATGAGGATTAAGCTGCAGTTCTGTCTGGTTTCAGAAGCCTTGGTGTCACTGAGCTGTGTTTTCTGTTTTCCTCTGAGCCCATGTGACCTGATGTGTCTCTCTGTGCAGCAGCTCCAGATGAATGAAGCCTTTATGTTGACCTGTTCTATCAGGACCTGTGAGTGCTGCACTCACAATATGTCTTATTGTCCCAAACAGGAACACAGACTGAGACTGGACCTGCTTCACTCCATCGACACAAAGAGGAAATGAATATCCACCAGTGGACACACAGTACTATACACAGTGCTGTACACAGTACTATACACAATGCTGTACACAGAACTGTACACTGAAATGTACTCTAAACTGTACTTTGAAATGTACTCTAAACTGTACTCTAAAATGTACTCTGAACTGTACTCTGAACACTGGACTGTTATTTATCAGGGATTGGAATAACAGACTGATTTACTTTATTTACATCTATAAATATATCAATAAATCTTTATTTTCTTTTTAAATTCTACTGGTTACTGGTCAGTAAATGGTTTTGACAGAAGTGAATGGTGTAACGGARCAACAGGGTGAAGATAAAAGCAGAGAAATGATTTGTGTCGTGTGAAAAACAGCAGCAGCATTATAAAAAGTGTTTTCAAAGGACCATCCCTCAGGAAGCCGCTTCAGCTAAATTCATTCTGGGCTCGGCCTGAAAGATAAACATGACTCAGAAACCGTAKAAAATGAATCTGAGTGTGTAGAGAAGCAGTGAGCAGTTTGTGTTCCAGCAGTCGATGTTTACACTATCAGCCTTCCACCCAGAGCTGGAGCRGAGGCTCRGCTGTTTGACTCTTTGGGGGTTAATGACTCTTTATAAATGAGCAGTTTCTAATGACACGGCTGCTGAAGCTCTATAAATCCCCACAAACGAGACTAAAACTGATCAGATACACAGAATGAGCTTTCACTGCTGTACAGTCCAAATACAGAGGTTAGCTCAAACTGCTAGCTTGAAACACAGAAACATTAGTTACAAAACCATTTTCTATTTTTAAATCAAAAAGTCAAATATCATTCTGGAACAAGCTAATTAGCATTATGTAGCATTACACTGGAACATGTCATCAAACGTGCAGCTGATTTTATTTTCAGAGGTAAGAAGCATCTGTGAGACATCAGGCTGCAGAGTGGAAGGATGAAGAGCAGAAAACACAGAGTCCAAAGTTTAACCAGTGACCCGCATCCCTCAAACTCTTCCCCCGGGGGGGCAATCAACTGAGCTGACTGCCAGCACCTCCCTGATGTTTCATGGAGGTATGAAGAGGAGGGAGCAGGAGTTGAAGAGCGAGGCGTTGAAGACAAGAAAGTTTTATGAAAATAATAATATTCTTCAAAGCAGCCGGTAAAGGAGCGTGATCTGATGACAGTATGATTGATGTGAGGAGTCACTGAGTCCCTGAATCACTGAGTCACAAAGTCAATTATTCAGAATCATTGAATCACTGAATTACTGAGTCATTGAATCACAGGTTTACTGAATCACTAAACCCCCAAGTCAATGAATTACAGTTTTTAAATCAATGAGTCAATTAATCAGAATCACTGAATCACTGACTCACTAAATCACTAAATCATTGACTCACTGAGACACTGAATTGCCAAGTCACTGAATTACAATCACTGAATCACTGAGTAATTGAATAATTGAGTCAATGAATCAGAGTCACTGAGTCAATCAATCAATCACTGTATCAACAAATCATTAAATCACTAAATCACTGCATAACTGAGTCACTGAATCACTGAGTCCCTAAATCATTGAGTCAATGAATCATTGGATCACTTAATTACTTAGTCAATGAATTATTGAGTCACTGAGTCATTGAATCACCAAGTCAATAAATCATTGAGTCACTGAGTCACTCACTGAATTACTGAGTAAATGAGTCAATAAATCACTATGTCATTAAATCACTGAGTTAATGAATTACTGAGTTATAAAAATCACTGAGTCAATGAATCACTGACTCATTGAATCAATGAGTCAATGAATCATTGAMTCACTGAGTCATGGAGTCACTGAATTACGCAGGTGAGGTTAAGCATCTAAAAATGAGACAACAGACCTAAAATGAGAAATCTCAGCTCATGTGAGATCTGTTCATAAATTTATGAAAGTGTAAAAACTAAGCTAAAATAACTCTGAGTTTTAGTCATGTTTGAGTTTGCTAAGGACTTAGCTGCGGTGGCCACCTTGAGTTGAACTGATTCGGTTGTAGACGTCGACCTTATTAAAAGCACCTTCTTCTGAAGCTTCAACTGAAACCAACATTTCAGGTTTTTATTTTTTTGTTGTGTTTTTGGTCTGAACCTGTCAGGTTGGTACAATCAATACAAAAGWCCCGCCTCACTAATAGGCTRTCAATCACAGARWAACGTGACACTTTAACCCTCAAAGGAAGTATGATTTTTATAAAGCATATTTGAACAAACAGCAGCAAGTTAAGAACTACTTGAATCAACAAAAAGCAACAAAATGTAAGGTTTTTATGTTCAGTTACAAAAATGTCTTGTTTGTTTGTTTGTGGTTATTCCTCCACTTTATTGAGCTACACAACTACATGATCACCTTCTTATTCCTGATTAGCCCCAAAC